TAAACAGTCCAGACAAAGACCACACACAGACAGACAACTAAGTTTTTACAAACACGCAAAGGCAATTAGGTGGAGAAAGGCTAGTCTTTTCAATAAAAGGTGCTGGAACATCTGGATATCTCTACTCAGTAGCATGACTTTGACCAGTGTCTTACAGAATACACAAAAATTAACTCGCAGTGGCTCAAAAACCTAACTATAAAGCCTAAAACTATAAAATTTCTAGAAGAAAACATAGGAGAACATCTTTGAGACCTTGGGTAAAGCACAGCTTACAAAACAACAAGTTAATGATTTGGGCTTCACTGAAGTTAAAAATGTCTGCTCTTAAAAGACTCTGCTAAGAGAATGGAAAGATAAGCTACACACTGGGAGAAAATACAGCATACATCTGATAAAGGGTCTCACACCCAGAATACGGAAAAAAAAACTCTCAAATTTTAAGAATAAAAAACAAAAAGCCAATTAAAAACAGGCAAAAGGTTTAACAGGTATTTCAGCAGAGAAGATACATGGATGGTAAATAAGCATATGAAGAGATGCTTGACGCCATTAGTCATTAAGGACCGGGAAATTAAAACCCCGATGAAATACCATGTCACACTTTAACTTATAAAAAGGCTGATCATATCAAATGTTGGTAGGATATGAGGGAATTAGAACTCTCACACACTGGGAATGTAAAACGACACAACTTCGAAAACAATGCGGCAGTTTTTTAAAAAAGTTAAATATACACCTACCATGTGATCCAGCATTCTACTCCTAGGTGTTTTCCTAAGAGAAAAGAAAACATATGCCCACACATGAATATTCATAGCAACTTTATTTGTAATAACCCCAGTCTAGAAGCAACACAAATGTCCATCAATGGTGAACGGATAAGCAAATTTTGGTGTGAACACCCACTGGAATACTATTCAGCAGTAAAAAGGAATGAACTATGGCAGCACATAAAAATATGGGTGCTTCTTGAAATAATTATGCTGAATGAAAGAACCCAGAATTTTTTTAAAAAGAGCACATAAAAAAAAGCAAATATGTTCATTAGTGATCAAAAAATGAAATAACAAACTATTCCTCTCCAAGCATAGACTCCAGCCTGTGAAAAAGACATTGATGATAGGAAATTAATACTGACCTGGAGATCAAATGAGGGAATTTTATTTTCGTTTTTGAAGCTTGTTGAGAAATGGCAAGTCAGTCTCCACGATTATTGACTCATTTATATACACACCCACTCCCTGTGCCTCCAGGCCTGACGTCATGCTATTTCATCGGGGAATATTTGTTTGTATTTCTGCAAGAAGAGGATTATTTTCAGTCTCTGTTTCACATTTCTAGGAATTCAGAGCCAGTCCTGGCAACTTCATCTGAAAATCTTGGAGGGGTTGGGAAGGAATGTGGAACTGCCCACACATTGATAAACCTGCCAAGAGATTTTTCTTAAGAAAAAGAAGACGAAAAGGCTTATCTTCTCTGTTTACCAGGAAAAAAAAAAAGTTGCTTTTTCTGTAGCTAGTGGGTGGTGATATCCTCTTAGGCTCTATGTGAAAATCCCAGGAGCTGTTGTGTAACACGACCATTATCTGGGAAAGGAATGTGCGTTTTTAGATGGAAACGTGAAATTCTAGAACCCATCCCCTGTGAGCAGTCAGGCTCCTAAGGGCATCCACACTTGCTTTATGTAGCCACTTGACAGGGACATCACCAAGCAGATGTACTCCAGTGAGTGCTTCTAAGACATCGGCTCTCTGGAGCTGTTTTCGCGAGACAGTGGGATTGTTTGTTCTTCAAAACCTTCACATCTCTCAGCACCCGCCTTGTTTTCCTTTTTCTTTTTCATTTCTTTTCCCCCTCAGTGGAAACACCTCTCCTCTCAGATGTAGTAACCATGCTAGTTGCTGCCAAGGGAAATACTGCATTGAATCCAAAGTATTTCTAGTGGGAAGGAAATAACTGTGAAAACAAAAATATTAGGGATCCTGCTTCTTCCCTTATTTTTTTTTTAAATTTAGGTATGCTACACAGAAAAAAAAGTACATGAATCCTGACTATATATGTTGATGAAGTTTTACATACTTATGTATTGATGGAACTACCCCCTAGATAAAAATGTAGAACTTTTCTAGGACCTGAGCAAGCTCCCTCACGTGTGCTCCCAAGATCAGTAACACACCCACCGCGCCCTCCAAAGTAACAGTCTTCTGACTTCTACAGTCAGAGCCCGCTTTTGCCTGTTCCTGAACCCACCCAAATGGAATTAGGTATTCTTTTATGTCTAGCTGCTTGCATCAACATTGTCATGAGGTTCATCCGGGCTCTGTGTAGCAGTCATCCATTCCTCTTTAAAAAAAAATTACTGTGTAGTATTCCATTGCATGAATACCCCCACAAAGTATTTTTCTCTTCTCCAGTTGAAGGACTTTTGGGTTGTTTCCAGCTTGGGCCTGCTAGGAAGAATAAAGCTATCCCTGGTCAGTTATGTGTATGACAATCATCTTCTTCCAGATTGCGCCCTGGTCTTTTCACTTTCTTAATGTGAGTCTTTGATGAAGAAGAGGTATTAATTTTAATGAACTTCAATATATTTAGCTTTTCCTTTAATGGCTACTTCCATTGTATACTGTTTAAGAAGCCTTGCTTACCCCACGGACGTGAAGATTTTTTTCCTATGTTTTCTTCTAGAAGCTCTTTTGTTGTTGTTTCACATTTTGTGTTTAAGTCTATAGTCACTTTCAACTGAAGTTTTGTCTGGGATGTGAGGTAAAGGGTGACAAATCATGTTTTTTCCACGTGGGTATCCAACTGACCCCACACCAATTATTGAAAAGACCATCTTTTCCCCCACTGAATTTCAGTTAGCACAATTCACTGACCATGTAAGTATGGTCTGTTTCTAGACTATTTTCTATTTATTGGTTTATCTGTTATCCTTATACAAATCAAACTATCTTAATTATTAGATCTTTACAGAAAGTCTCAGCATCTGGTCACATAAGTCCTCCTACTTTGTTTTTCTTTTTCTTTCTTTTTTTTTTTTTGACTATTTACAGCTATTTTAGGTCCTTTGCAATTCCCAATGAATTTGGAATCAACTTGTTAATTTCCACAACACAACTCAGGAAATTTTCATTGTTATTGCATTGACTTTATAGATCATTTTGAAGGAAAAGTGACATCTTAACAGTATTGAATCTTTCAATGGTCATGATATATCTCTCCATTTATTTAGATTTTCTTCAATGTCTCTTGACAATATTTTGTAGTTTTCAGTGTAGAGGGCCTGGCCTTACTTTCATTAGATTTTCCTATTTTTTGTTACTATAAAGGGCATTTCTTAAAATTTCATTTTCTAATTGTTCTAATATGTAGACACACAAGTTGACAAATATACCTTGCATCCAGTGACCTTTCTAAATTCTTTTATTCTCATAGTTTTCTATAGATTCGTTTCTATGTATACAATGTCATCTGTAAATAATGTTAGTTTTACTTCTTTTCCAATTTTTAATAACTTGTCATTTCTTGTTCTTGCATTTTTGAACTGCCTAGATTTCCAATATAATGTTGCATAGAAGTGGTGAGAGTGGACACTCTTTCTTGCTCTTCAGCTAAGAGGAAAGCATTTAATAACTTATCATTAAACATGATATTAACTGTAGGTGTTTTGTAGATTTCCTTTACTAGATTAAGAATGTTCCCTTCTTCCTAGTTTTCTGAAAGTCTTTAAAATTATAAACAAGTGTTGAGTTTTTGCAAATGCTTTTTCTACATCTGAGATAATGCTTTTTTCTCTTTTACTTGGTCAATATGATGAACTGCATCACTCTGTGATTTTTAAATCAACTTCATATTCATGAAACAAAGGGACTTTGGTCATGATAAACCTTTTTCTATACCCCTGGATTTACTTTGCATTTTCTTTAAGATCTTGCATTTCTATTTTGAGTAGTGTCTGGAAACGTTCTGTGCACGGTGGGTGTTCAGGAGTGGCCAGACGCGTGAACTCCTGATTGTGCCTGCGTCAGACTCTGGGTCACTGCTGTGAGGGCTGCATCCAGGTGTGCTTTCCTCCCTCCCATCTCCTCCAAACCAGCTTCTCCTCACCACTCTGCAAGGGCCACTTCTGGAAAGAGATCACTTTAATCTTAGGCCAGTCGAAAAGTACTCATACCTGGAGGAGTGCCCAAAGAAGATCAGACCTGCACTCGGGTAATTCCAATCCCAGCAGCCTGGGGGCATCCTGGAACTGGCTCAACTGGCTTGCTACAGCTGACGGTTAAAATTTCAGAAATTTTATGACAACCGTCATTAAAATTAAGCCATATCAACTTGTAATTAAATAAGTCATATTAGAAACAAAGGTAATAAATACCTCAAACTCAGCACTTTTTAATTATATTTCTATCGACTTTGCCTCATGGGTAATTTACATTTATTGTTTCTATGTGGTGGAAATGCTCTCAAATGGTTGGTCACTGATCATCTCTTCCCAGCTCTGTATTTGGTGGCATCACAGTGGAGCTTGAAACTGGCCGTGGTGGGAGTATTTACACCATGGAAAGTAGCAAACATTACACATCAGGGATTTTAATTTTTGGCCCCTTGGTGATGACGTGCGCCTCCAAAGCCACATCCAGCCCCACGTTTGGGTCACTTTGAAACTGTTGTTCCTTAGGGTTTACCCTATTGACCCTCTGCCCCCTACAGAGCCACCCTATGGACATCATGACTCTGGCACCAGGAATTTGGCCTGTTTTCTACCATCGTGGCTAGCTTTGTGTGGCTTCAGGCCCCACGCCCATTCTCTCTTCAGGGTCAGGACTTTGTAAGATAATTAGAGCCTGGGCTCAGGTGGGACCACAAGACAGAACAGATGGGAAGGGCCTGGAGAGAGATGCACAATCATGACTTCTGAGGACAGAGTGGCCAGGCTGATGGAAGACAGCCTCCCAGCCCCCCCCCACCCCGCCCAAAGAGCGGTGCATAAACAGTCGAGGACTGAACGACAGACTTTATTAGAAACGCTCCTCATTCATCAGTCAAATTCACATTAAAGTGGCGGGAAGCAGTGCCATCTGGGGCTCTGGTATCCCACTGCTGTGACAATTTCCAGTTAAAAATCAGTCTGGGCAGAAAGCGTTGGAAACACGAGAGGTGCCGTGGTGGTGGCGGCGGCCGCAGTGGGGGCAGCATCGTCCCTGTGGGAGGACAGGCTCCCTCCGGCAGGTGAAGGACATCCACCCGTCCAGTTACAAGGCTGCCCCCACGGCCCCAAACTGATAAATAAACAGCACATCACACACACACACACACGTGAAACAGAAACAGACTCATACAAGTCTCCTAAAGTGAAAAAATAATTCGCTCAAATAAAGCTTTGTGGCAGCCAGGCTGTATCCTGAACGGACGGTTGCCTGGAGACCCTCAGCACCCCAGGAAACCTCCCCAGCCCCAGGACATCATCCCTGTGGGCGTCACAATGCCCCCAGTTCCCCCATTAGCACCTTTGGACTAAGTACTGCCCTCACCACATCATTTTAAAATCCAACTTAAAACAACAACAATAATAAAGGATACACTCTGTCCCTGGGGTGAATTAGTCAGACTCAGCTTCCCTGAATAGAGGTGCTTGGGGCATCCAGAGACTGGGGGTCCACGGTGGGGAAGGAGGGCACGCACGCGAGAGGAGGAAGTAAACAACGTTCAGAGAGGTAAGCTGGGAGGTGTCTCCACACTGCTTTGTCCACTTGCCGATTCTGCAGTTGGGCATCCCTGGGTAACAGTCGTTCAAAGGGGTACAAAGTCCTAAAGTGTCACGACAATCCTGCTGCCCTGGCGAGGGGTGGGGGCGCAGAGGGGCACCGGCGTCAAGCTGCTTTCACCATTCATTATTCAGAGGCAATTTGCTCCCGGAGCTGGCCAATTTTCCCCTGGCCCCGTCTGCACCAGGGCACACAACAGAAAGTCTCCTGCCCAAATGTTTTATTCATTCTCTTGAATAAGGAAACAGGCTCTTGGATCAATATACCAGTGGCTGCTGTGTCCTGCTGGGCGTGTAGGATCTCTGTAGGCTCTGGGCTCTTCCTGGCTTCCAAGGAGGTATCTGACTTGGGAGGGCGGCTTCCAAGGCAGAAAATACTGTTGGCAACAGACATTTCGTTTTCAAAGTTGGGAAGATGTCCTGGGTGACGGTGAGATGACAGGCCGGGGGCCGTGGGTGTCCCCGCTGCCCCTCCGCCCCGGCTCACTGGTACTGCAGATAGTTTTTGAGAGACTGAGGCAGGGGCAGGGAGCCGATGTCCCCTAGGCGCTGGCGGCCCAGGGCCAGGCGGATGGATCTCCGGCACAGGTCCATCAACGGCAGGGGCTCGGCTGCAATGAGAGGGCGTGGATTAGTCTTGCCCCTGCTTCCTCATGCCTCTCACCCCCACATGCTGCCTGCACACCCCTGGCCCGCCTGCCCTCTGAGCTGCCCTTCAGGGCCCCGGGCTCCCACTCTGAGAAGTCTTGTCTGGTTATATGAGCTGAAGGCTTCTAGCAGTGTTCTTCAAACTGGAATGCAAACGATTAGACTGAAGAATCATGGAATCAATTCATTGGGTGGTGATCAGCAATTTTGAAAAAATAGAAAAGAAAGAGAAAATGGAAAGCAATGCCTGTATCAAGGGGTTCCATGTCAGCTCTGTCTCTGAGGTAGATGTTTCACACTCTGATGTGTGTGTCTCAATGTAAAAAAATACTTCTCACTGCAGATTGTGATAAAAATGAGAGGCTGACCTAGGATGGATCTGCAGGGGGTGCTTCTTAGAAGCAGGTGAGGTTTAGGGGGGCTGTTTAAAATGACTTTGGACCCTCAAACTTCTCCTGTGTCCTCTTTTGATGGTCAGAGAAATGCATTTCTTCTAATACCCAGTTCTAGAAAACATCATGAGTTAAAATCCATAAGCCAAGGAACCTCTGGACTTAGGAATGAGTTTTAGCTAGCTTTATTGCAGACATACTTATGAAGCTTTTATTCTCTTCCAGGCCCCAGTGATACAGAGATAACTAACCCAAGGCCAAAGGCAGCTCTGGAAGTGGAGGAAGGGTCCTGGTCTGAGTCTAAACATGTGAATAATTGTAATAGAGTGTAATATACACAATAATTCCTAAATGCACAGGGACAGACACCGGGCAGTTCCTGTACGGAAGTGTTGTTTGAAAGCTTCAAAGAGAGGATACCTGAATGGGATTTTGAAGGGTGAATAGGAGTTTTATGTGATGTGAGGTTGGGGAGGGCATTCTAGGCAGAGAAAACAGGAAAAAGTACAGAGGCATAAAACAGGACAGGCTGGGAGGCCTGGAGGGAGAGGAATGTATCAGTCAGCTGGATCAGGAGTGAAGATGCTGGTGGTCACATGCTGTCTTGGAGGCTTGCACAGCCCTAATTTCCCCAAGTAGGCATGAACATGGTGGAGGCCTGGAGCTGCATCTTAACACTTTTTTTGTCAATAGAACAAGTGATATTTTAAAAGCACCCAATAATATGCAATGATACAATAAAACTGTAAATGGTAAATGCTAACACAAGAGTTGTGACAGGAATAATATCACAACGGGATAGAAGAGATGGGAAGGTGGTCAAGAGTGCATTTTATATGATAAATGCTGGAGAGGGTGTGGAGAAAAGGGGACCCTCCTACACTACTGGTGGGAATGTAGTTTGGTGCAGCTATTATGGAAAACAGTATGGAGATTCCTTTAAAAACTAAAAATAGAGTTACCATATGATCCAACAATCCCACTCCTGGGCATATATCTGGAGGAAACTCTAGTTCGGAAAGATACATGCAATCTGCAGATACTAATATATATAAAATAGATAAACAACAAGTTTATACTGCATAGAATGGAACTATATTCAATATCTTGTAGTACCTTATGTTGAAAAAGAATGTGAAAATTAATATATCTGTGTTCATGTATGACTAAAACATTATGCTGTACACCAGAAATTGATACAACATTGTAAACTGACTATACTTCAATAAAAAAATGCATATATACTAAAAAAAATAATGCATGTATCTCAGTGTTCATAGCAGCACTATTTACAATAGTCAAGACATGGAAACAACCTAAATGTCCATTGACAGATAACTGGATAAAGAAGATATGGTACATATGTACAATGGAATACTACTCAGCCATAAAAGGAATGAAATAATGCCATTTGCAACAACATGATTGGACCTGGAGATCGTCATTCTAAGTGAAGTAAGTCAGACAGAGAAAGACAAATATCCTATGGTATCACTTACATGTGGAATCTAAAAAAATGACACAAATGAACTTATTTACAAGACAGAAATAAACTCACAGACATAGAAAACAAACTTATGGTTACCAAAGGGGAAAGTGGGGGGAGGGATAAATTAGGTGTTTGGGATTGGCAGGTACAAACTACTATACACAGAATAGATAAAAAACTAGGTCCTACTGTATAGCACAGGGAACTGTATTCAATAGCTTGTAATAACTATAATGAAAAAGAATATGAAAAAGAATATATATACATATATATAACTGAATCACTATGCTGTACACCAGAAACCAACACAACATTGTAAATCAATTAAACTTCGATAAAAAAAAAGAATATGCCATTTTAAAAAGCTCCCTCGCCAAAAAAAACCAGTGCTTTTTATAGGAATTTTCATTTACTAGAGCTGCAGAGTTAATAAGGAGAGCGATGAAGATCAGAGCTGGACTTGGCTGATGCTTTGGAAGCTGTGCACAAGAGTGTGTCCAGCCCTCCTTCACTTGAGGCGAGGCTGCGTGGTGGCACACTTCTGCCTCCGTATCCCTTTTTGATCCTCATACAAACTCTCATGGCTGGCCAGGGAGGCCTGGGTATCCCTTTTCAGGCCTAGAAGGCAGATCACTCACCCTGAGTCACATGGTCTTGGCCAACACTTGACCCCGCTCCAGGTGTCTCTATCTCTTCCCTGGCAACACCCCTGTGCCCAGTTCTCCTGCTCCCTGTCCTCCATGTAGTTCTGATTCAAGCTTTGCACTACCCCCTGAATTATGCCTCTGTGAACCCCTTTCCCCCTCTTCCGACCCGAATCCTCCCATCTTCGACATCTTGCTGGAAGCTGATCTTCCCACTGCAAGTTTCCACGATCTCCTTTTAGCTCCTATGGCACCATGCTTGCTGCCTGTGCCGCTGGATGCTGGGGAGGAAAAAACCTGAAAAGTCCTTTACTTAATAAGCAATTTCTACTTGTCTACCATGCAACATGAAAGATGAAATATAATTGTAGCTATTGTTTCCTGAAGGTGTATTACGTGGCTAGGTGCTGTGCTAAGCTCTTGATTTGTACCAACTCACGTGAATGTAGGTATCGAACTCATATCACTATAACCTCTTGTACTAGGAACTATTATTATTACCCCCAATTTAAGGAATAGGAAACAGAAGCACAGAGAGGGTAAGTCACATGCCCAAGGACACACAGCTGGTAAATGGCAAAGCTGGGTGTTGGATCCAGGCAGCTGGAAACTCTTATAGCTTAACCACATTTATTGAGCAACTGTTCTGTCCCCCTTTCTATGTTAGGTTTATCTCATTTAGAGGGGCTCGTGCCTACTTTAGAGAAGAGGAAGCTGAGGCTCAGAGGTGAAGAGGCTAGTCCAGAATCACACAGTGCAAAAGCCAGTATTTGGAGATGCATGCTGCATCCCTCAAACTCCATGCAATTATGAACGGTTGTTTTAAGGTGAGAAGGGAAGGAGAGGGTCACCTGTCTCCCAGGCTCGCACAGTCCACAGGTTCTTTCTCTGGCTCTGATCACTTTCCAGCTCACCGGTGCGCACTTCTCCTGTGTGAGGTCTGCACCAACCTAAACGAGCTACCCTGCCACCAAATATCTTTTCTGCTCTCACACTCACCTATTCCAACGTGGACCCCGCCTGCCACATTCCCATTCTCAGGGCCATCAGACCCAGTTCCTCCAGCACATCCCCTTCCTGAGGATCTCTAGGAATCTGGAGTCCCTTATTTTGAGCTCCAGCTCTGCCAGCTGTAAGTTTGTGCCTTTGTGAAAGGTACTGAGTGCTTATTTCTTCATCTGTAAAATGGAGCAACGATCTGCAGATTTCCAGAGAAGATTAAAGAAAATGACAGGTGCACAGCGGGAGCTCGGGAAATGCTGGTCCCCACTCTGGGTGTGTTGGCTGAACCCCTCTGGGTATGTGTGCCCTGGGCCCACCCTGGCCCTGGTGCTGTCCTCCTCCTCTCAAACAGATGTGGCAAGGATTTTCTATTTCATTCATTTAACAATGAATGGTTACAAAGCGTGAACTTCTTAAAAGACATGAGCCTGACTCAACTGTCTTAGGATCCACCCCCCAGCCCCCAGGAGGCTGTCCCAGGGGGATGGCCCAGAAACGGTCTATTAAATGAATGAGATGACTTGCTGCTTTGGGGGGGGGGGCGGGTCTTCTATAGCTGTTTTAAGCTATTGAAATAAATTGCTCTTACCTGGCAACGTTTCTGTCTTGGCTCCCCACACTCCTGCACCCGCCCTAAGAACAGGGCAGGTCTTAATTGACAAGAGATTTGTGGTGAAGGCCGGATGAGTTAGAAAGTGTAAAGCACTGGGCACGGTGACCAGCACACAGTAGGGATTCAACATACAGCACTTCCAGCCATCTCCTCCCCATCCAGGCATTTGTTTGGTCACCTTTTGTGAGGATGAGCTTGGGCAGGGCTGTTAAACGTGGGCTCTCCTGGGAGGTCAGCAGTTCCTTCTCTGATTGAAGGAAAACAGGCCTGCATTTTGCATCAGGAAAATTTCGAGCTGTTATCATTTGATAGTCATTGCCAAAGCTTAAAAGTTTCTCGATCACTTTAGAGCTCTAGGCACATAGTAGGTCCAAAATGCTAAGCCTGGTCTGCAAACCTGATTCCCTGTGTGTTCCTTGCCCAGTTAGGAGCTGAAGAGAAGGAAAGAGCTCTGTTTACCTTCATTCCTCTGCAGTTACCGAAATCGATCCAGAGCCCAAACTCCAAAGGAAGAGAGAAGGAGGGGTTGGAGTTCAGAGCACATCTTTAGCTCTAAATGTGAAATATAAACCATCTAGCCTCATTTCTGAGGGAATGTTAACTGATGACTTCAAAGTAACTAACCCCAGAGTGCACAGAGAAAGCCCTTCCAGAGCTCTGAGGATGCCCAGCGTGGCCTGGGCCAACCCCCAACTCCTTTCTTTCTCTCCTTGACTGTGGAAGCCTTCTCAGAACTACCAAACATCAAAGCTTGTAAATGATCACCCAGGCGGGAGGAGAAACACAGCATCTTTCAGTACGGGAGCCATTCTTAGAAATATTT